AAAAAAAAAAAAAGAAAGACTGCTGCAATAGGGTTAAAGTGTCATCCACCAGTTTTCCCTACTACACTACTAGGTTACTATTTTTCACTTTGTAATTAGTAAATATTTTATTGGAACATACTTTGAAACTATATATAAATATCCTGTTTCTCATCAAACTTTCACCCATTAATTTTAGTATCCATGAACGATTCTCACCTGAATCAATTATTACTATGATGGTTGAGAATGGTGATTTTTCCAATTTCATTACTCCTTTTACTGTAAGGAAAAGCTTTCCCTTCATATTTATTTCCTTAGTTAACATGAGTATGGACTTATGGTTCCTTATTCTATTCAGTAGGTTATAATCTGTTACTGTGATAATTTGTTTTGATGCTTAAATTGTTCTTGATTTGGCCTGTGAAAGTCCCTTCAAGCTGGCTCTTTCGTTCTTTTGACATTTTTGAGCAGTCCTTTATTTTCTGGCACAAGTTGTTCCAGGCTCATCTTGTATCTTCCCTGCTGCAGCTGTGGAATCAGCCATTTTCCCAAGGGGCCTGGTTTCTCTTAGTGGAGAACGGAATTAGAACCAGAGATCTGGGTGCTGGCTGTGCTTGTTGCTACTAGGGTGTCATTGTTCAATGATTCCATTTCTAGTTCTAAGACTTTAGATTCTACAATGTAACTCTTATACATGTGAACAAAGATGCACATTCAAGGACATTTATTTTCTCATCACCCTCACTATTTCCAAATAAGCCCAAGCCATCATCTTCTTTTGCCTTTTTTACTTCAAAAGCCTCCTAACTGGTCTCCCTTTTTCCACAATGGCCCCTCTGCAGTGTCTTTTCTACACAGCATCCAGAATAATAATTTTTTAAAAATCTGATCACATTCTCCCCTGCTCACAACCCTCCACTCCCTAAGAATAAAATCCAAAACTCTCAACATGGCTTCAAGCACCACAGGATCTGGCTTCATCTCTAACCTCATTAACTACCACTTTCCTACTTGCTCGCAAGACAAGGACATTCTAGCCACAGGATTGTTGTACCTGCTTTTCTCCCCGAGGTATTCAAATGGGTTGTAAAGGTCTTTATTAGGTCTCCACTCAAGTCACCTTTTCAGAGAAGCCTTCCCTACCTATCCTATTGAAAACAGCACCCTATCATGCATCACTATCTGCATTACATCATATATTCACCCATTTTCCTGTTGTCAGTCTCTATTTCTCTACATTATACCTCTAAAGTAAGCTCCCTGAGGGAAGGGACTGGTTTGGTTTTCTCCCATAGCCCCAATGCCTAGAATACTGCATATTGCGGACTCACAAATGCCTGTTGAGTGATTGAAGGTAACTTTCACTCCTTGGGGCTTTTGCACCCATCATGCCCTCTGCCTGGCTTCCCCCTCACCCTTCTCTTTGCATGGCTAGCTTCTTCTCATTCTTTAGATCTCAGTTTAAATGTCACCTCCTCAGAGAAGCCTTCCTTGATTACCTTATTCTAAGTTAAGTTCCACTACCTCACTTGCATTTTCTATTTCAGCCTCTTATTCTGGCTGTCGTACTGATAACAATTTCCCTTTATCTGTTTGCCTGTTGCCCCATCCCCCTGTCTCCCCACTAAAATGCAAGCTCCATAAAGGTAGAGACTGCCATGGCTATCTCATTCACTACGGTATCCCCAGGGCCTAGAACAGTTCCTGGCAAATAATACGCACTCAAGAAATTTGTTGGATGGACTTTTAATAGCTAAAAACTGGAAAGAATCCAAATTCTATAGAATATTGGCTGGCTGTTCAAGAATGAGGTATGTGCACTGGCATGGAATGATGTCCAAGATACACTTAATGTAAAATGCAACAGGCAAAACAGTCCAATTCCTTTTATGTAATTAATACTAGTGCACAGCAAAAAAAAAAGGAAAAATAATGGATTGGAGCCCAGTGATCATGTGGGGGTGAGGGATATTAGAAAAGATTTTAACTTCCTATATTATACATTTCTGTATTGCAAACTATTTTTTTTTTTAAACAAACACTAACATTTGAGCACTTAGTACATGCCAGGCACTGTGGTAAACATTTTGTGGGCAGGATTTCATGGATCTTCTCAATAATCTTATGAGATATATCCTAATACCATCATCCCTATTTTCGATGAGGAAATTGGTTCAGGGACATCAAGTAATTCACCTAAGGTCACATAGCAGACCCATCACACTATACCACCTCCCTGTGTTTTTATTTTTATTTATTTATTTATTTTGTGAGGAAGACTAGCCCTGAGCTAACATCCGATGCCAATCCTCCACTTTTTTGCTGAGGAAGATTGGCCCTGGGCTAACATCCATGCCCATCTTCCTCTACTTTATATGAGACACCGCCACAGCATGGCTTGACAAGCGGTGTGTCTGTGCGCGCCTGGGATCAGAACCCTGGACTGCAGAAGCTGAGCGCGCGCACTTAACCGCTGCGCCACTGGGCCAGACTCCTCCCTGTGTTTTTATAACTTAAAAAAAAAGGAAGGAGAATAAGATCAAACTAGGGGTAACAGTTCGGGATCGAGGCTTTACACAAAAGATCCTAAGCAAATTTGTCTCTGAGCTCTCTAGATACCAGGGCCGAGAGAAAAAATATGATCAGTTATAAGATCCTTGGTGCTTCAAAGATAAAAGCAAACCATTCATCAGGAGAAACACCTTTCCCAAGCGCTGAGGTTTGAGAGGACTTTCCCATGAGGCACTGTTCAATCAAGTGGTCTACAGCTTCAGTAACATACCTGTATACCCAGATAGCTGATGGCCAGCTACAAATGGAAGTTCAGGAAGAGCAATTCCATAAAGAGCCAAATTTACACAGCCTGGGCATCAGATCTGGTGGTCTGGCTAGACCCATAGCTAAAACCAGATATGTGGCCTAACCCTCCAGCAAACTCATAGAATATTGCAAATTCAGCCTATTAAAGACTGTTAGCAAGAATCAGGAGACAAGAAGTGACATTCATCTTAAATTTCCACCCTCGTGAATTTTTCAGGTAGGCTGGGTAGGTTTTATGCTTCTTTTACAGATGAAGAAACTCAGGCTCAGAGAGCCTAGTTACATGACTAGAAAATATCAGAGCCAGCCCTAAATCTATGACGTAGGCATCCCTTCCTCAGCCATGCCTATCACACATGCTCCAACAAAAGCTTATGTCCTCATAATCTCTCTGTGGGTGGTGGGCTGCAGTACCTAGGAGGGTGTTGTCCTACACACTGGAGGAGAGCTGGTGAAGAGGGGAGCTAGGCCTAGCCAGTGAGGAGGCACACTTTTCCCCCAGGCCCATTCTAATCCCACTCCACACACCCCCAACTCCTTGTACCCTAGGCTGGGAAGTAAGGCTAACATTACACAAATGGGGAAACACTTCCACCCCCAAACATAAAAGTGATCTCGCAGCATATATTTGACTTCACTCATTTATTCACTTTTCCTTGCAAGCTGGGAATAGGTGGGCCCTCAGGCTGGGGAGTCCTGGGAGCTTTGCTAGAGGGAGGAGAGGATAAAGGGAACATGGGGCCTTATTGCAGGGCAGGCTTCTAAGGGGAAGACGATGCGGAGGAGGAGAGAGGAAACAAGGGTCTAGGCCCTTCTTTCATCCCACACCCAGGCTTCCCAAGCCTAAGTAGAAGGGAAGAGTAACAGGACACCTACTCAGGGATGTCCTTGATCCCTTCTCGCCCTTCCCCCACCATCCAGCAATAACGTGAGAGAAATCAAGGAAGTGCAGGAGGTGGGCAACGGGCAGTCTTCATTTAAAAAAAAAAAAAAAAAGACAAAAAAACTCCACAGGTGACAGGCGCACTAGCCTGCAGCGCACAGCTGAGATCTCCCTCCTCGCAGGCTGGCGGCGGCGGGCGCAGGGGATGAGAGCCGCGCGTGCGCATCCCGGCTGGCCGCCGGGCCCTGCGGCGCCCTCAGCTCCGGCCTTTCCTCTTCTTCCCTCGGCCGCGCTCCGCCGCTTTCCGCGCTGGGCTGCTGTCCCCGCTGCCGCTGCTGGCGGGCGGACGCAGCACACTCCTCTGCACGCGGTGCTCGGGCTCGCGCACGCGCGGCGCCGCCTGCAGCAGGAACTCGCCCCCGCTGTAGGTGACGCGCACGTCGGTGCGCGGGTACGTGCCGTACACGCGCCGCAGCTCCCGGCGCACGAAGTCCGGCAGCTCCAGGCGCGGCCCCAGCGCAGCTCCGCCTGCAGGCTGCCGCCCTCTGGCCACGGCGCCCAGCTTTCTGCCGCCACCGTCCCCGCCGCCACGGGCGCATGCAGCGACGGCCCCAGGTAGAAGGGCGCGGCATAGGCCTGCGGAAAGACCCACAAGGGCGGCACGGCCCCCAGGGGCGCGCCCGGGCCGTGGAAGCAGTGGTATTCCCGCGGGGCGCCCCACTCGCCCGCGCTCAGGCTCCGGGGCCGGCTGCAGAAGTTGTGGGCCTGGATGGGGGGCAGCAGCAGAGGGGCGGGCAGGTAGGTGTAGGTGAGGGGCTGCAGCGAAGGCCAGACGCCATCTCCGGGAGCCAGGCTGCTGTATGAGTACATGGTCTGAAGCTCAGGCAGCGGGCATTTTTACTGGGGCCGGGGCCTGGGCCGGGGCCTGGTCCACACCTGTGGTGGGGGGGGGGTGTGTGTGTGGATACACTTGGTTCTTACCCAAGGCTCGGGGTCATCCCAGGAGCCCATGCGCGTGCCTAGTGCCTTTGGGGAACGCGTCTTAAGGTGTTCAGCTCCTACCTCATGTCCCAGGGCTGGGCCCGAACCCCAGGCTCCCAGCAGGCAATAAGGACCCCAGGCTTTTTCAAGCCCTCAGCCCTGAAATGCTCTTCCTAGATAGTTCCACACTCACCTGTCTCCTTTAGCCCCGGGGAGCTGGTCCCCAGAATTTGGGGGAGCCAGAGAGGTCCAGAGCGGGGTTCTCCACCACTTTTTAGTTGAACTGCCCTCCATGCTCTGTCTTAGCCACACCTCCCGGTTTCCAGGCAAAGGGAAACACCTGGAGCTGGCCAAGAGCCAGGCAGCCTGTGTCTACACTGGATGAGCCTGCCGGCCCCAAGCTAGACGCTGAGGCCTTTACTCAGAGTTGCCCTCACCACAACTTGCCCAAATTCACACAGCCAGTTATGGTAAGGGCAGAATTCAACCCCATGTAGCCTTATCACCAATCCATGCTTCTTTCAGACTGTCTCACAGTCCTTCTGCTTTAGGATGTTACATTAAGAACTTCTAATTCTTAACTGTGAAGAACATGGTGATATTATTCTCATTTAATAGATAAAGAACCAGAGACTCAGAGATGGTGAGCCACTTTCCCAGGGTCACACAGTCTTAAGTAGCACAGTGGTATTTGAACGCAGTCCAACTGATTCCAAAGCCCAGAAGCTGGAAAGATTGCTTCATCCAGAAAGAGCTCCAGTCCCCTCTTGCTGCAGGTCACAACCCTCCACCTCTCTCTTTCCCAGTGGGGTGGGTGGTAGTTGCTGGATGATTAAAACTGGTACTCTCTCCCAGCTGCTGGGCTGCCTTTGCTGGGGGAGGCCTCCAGTGGTAGGCAGAAAAATGTGTGCCCTCCCACTCCTAAAATGTCTGCGACCTAATCCCTGGGAACCTGTGAATCTGTTATGTTACATGGCAAGGGAGAATTAAGGTTGCAGATGGTATTAAGATTGTTAATTAGCTGACCTTTTTTTTTCTGGTGAGGAAGATTAGCCCTAAGCTAAGGTCCGATGCCAATCTTCCTCTTTTTGCTGAGGAAGATTGGCCCTGGACTAACATCCGTGCCCATGTTCTTCTTCTACTTTATATGGGATGCTGCCACAGTATGGCTTGACAAGCAGTGTGTTGGGGTGCACCGGGATCCCAACTTACAAACCCCGGGCCGCCGAAGTGGAGCACACACACTTAACCCCTATGCCACTGGGCCAGCCCCAATTAGGTGACCTTAAAATAGGATTATTCTGGATTATCTGGGTGGACGCAATATAATTATAAGGGTCTTTAAATGTAGAAGAGGGAGGCAGAAGAGTCAGAGTGATGTAATATGAGAGTCGACCAGCCATTGCTGGCTTTGAAGATGGAAGGGGGTCATGAGCCAAGGAATGGAGGCAGCCTCTGGAAGCTGGAAAAGGCAAGAAAATGGATTCTCCCCTAAAGCCTCCAGAAAGGAACACGGTCCTGCCAACACTGATTTTAATCAATGAGACCCATTTCAGACTCCTGACCTCCAAAACTGTAAGATAATAAATTTGTATTGTTTTAAACCACTAAGTTTTGACAGCACCAATAGGAAATTACTACACCTCTCCTATTTATCACTTTGCCCTTCCTCCAAATCCCAGCACCTGAGGAATGTCCAAGGCTACCTATAGACTGACCTCACCCCAGCCTGGATCTCAATGATGGGCCCTGTGGGACTGGCCCGTTTCTCCACCTGCTCCTGCTCCCCCAGGTGGATCTGGTCACACCTGTGGGGGAGGTGAGGAGAGTGTGAGACCAAGATCAAGTTGGAGCCTAGGATGTTGAGAAGCCTGTATTTTTTGTGTGTGTGTGTGAGGAAGATCAGTGCTGAGCTAACATCCGATGCCAGTCCTCCTCTTTTTTTTTTCTGAGGAAGATTGGCCCTGAGCTAACATCCGTGCCTATCTTCCTCTATTTTATATGGGATGCTGCCACAGTGTGGCTTGACAAGCGGTGCATCGGTGCGCACCTGGGATCTGAACCTGCAAACCCCAGACCGTCGAAGCTGAGTGCGCGCACTTAACCACTGTGCCACCAGGCTGGCCCCAAGAAGCCTGTATTTTAATATTGGTTCCCACATGCTTGCTGAAGACCTTTGCTGGTCTGGGGAGGAAGTTTTCAGGCAAAATGAGAAAAACAAGGCCTAAGCTGTGAGTCTCTCCACATTCATGCACCCTGATTCCAGTTACAGCCCACCCACCCCCCACTGCTGATTTTTTTAGGTGCCACATCTTATTTACTCTCAGTAAAGCAGTTCTGGAAGAGTTGGTTCTATTCCATCCTTAAGTTGCCAGTGATTTAGGGCTAAACCAGTCAGCACTGCCATCCCTCTGGCCATGGTGATTGGTTTGGGATAGCCATGTGACTCAACTTGGGCCAATGGGAGCCAATCCCAGGACTTTGTTCTCTTGTTGGGTGGAAAGAAGTGCTCTTTTTCCCCAGGACAGAAATTTGAAAGAATGCAGTCTGGGTTGAGAGGTGAAGGCATGACTGAGATGGAGCCACAGGAGCAGTGGAGCCAAGGGACAGAGAGAAATTGAGTCCTGATGACATCATTTGAGTTCTGGACTTTAAAGTTACATGAGCCAATAAATTCCTTTTTTGCTTAATCTAGTTTGAGTGGAGTCATCTGTTGCTTGCATCAACAATACACCCCTGAGTATTTTTCTCCCAGCATTTTATTATGCAAAATTTCCAAATTCAGTAACCTGAGTTGATCAGGAGCTCACTTGTGGGCAAAGTAGAGAATAGATTGGCGAAAGAGAGATGCTGGAAGCCAGTCTTAGAGGAAGTTCTCCATTAGCCCAGGAACACTGACAATCAAAACAGGCGCAAGGGAGGGGAAAGAGGTGGGAGCGGATTCGCCTGGACTTGATCCAGTATAACTGCCTGGATGGAGAGGGTAGGATAGAGGTGGATGCACATCCTTTTGGCTTGGCCACCTGGCAATCCTGGTGATAAAAACCACTAGTGGGTGATTGGAAGTTGAAGGAATGGTAGGTTCAAATCGGGCGTTTGGGGAGCTGTCCAGCAAGCAGTTTTATATTCAGGCTGGAGATGGGGGGAGTAGTCATGAAGGGAAAAGTAACAGGTGAAGTTACCAGAATAGCTGCTACCCTGGCCCGAATCACACTGTGTCATCACGGCTGCCAGTTTGTTGGGTGCCACGCCTTTTGAGGGCAGCAATCTTGTTTTTGAAGTCTCTTTTACCCCATACAGTCTATGGCCTGCCAATTTTGAGTGAATAAATCAAGAGTCTTGAAAATGGAAACCTGGGGGACCCTCCCTCAAGGGCTTTAGAAGGCCCTGGGAAAAAGTGCCCCAGTGAAGGAGACTGAAGAGGAGTTGTTAGGAGGAGAACACGGTGGAACCTAAATCAGAGAGGTCAGAAGCCAAGGGAGGAGAGAATTTCAAGGAGAGAGAGTGCTTGTGTATCTATCTGTCCCATGATCCAGGGACTCGGATACACCTCAAGAAGGCAGGCGATATGACCCCAGTTGCACCCCGTGTCCCCTCCCAGTTAGGTCTGTGCTTGGCAGCTGGGAAGGGAAATCAGAGATAATCACAAGGTCTAGGGCCGGCCCCGTGGCTTAGCGGTTAAGTGCGCACGCTCCGCTACTGGCGGCCTGGGTTCGGATCCCGGGCGTGCACCGACGCACCGCTCCTCCGGCCATGCTGAGGCCGCGTCCCACATGCAGCAACTAGAAGGATGTGCAGCTATGACATACAACTATCTACTGGGGCTTTGGGGAAAAAATAAACAAATAAATAAAATTATACAAGGTCTAGCCCTGGTGCTGACATAAAAGGGTAACTGGTTACATTGTCTGTAAAATCAGAGGGCTGAGGGACCTCAGAGTGTAACCACGGGGTATTAAGTGCAACATAGGAGACAAAATCTTTCCTATTAGGTCACATCCAGTTCTGGCCCTTGGCAGCCTTCCCCATTCCCCCATTCTCCCATTCCCCAACTGGACATCCAGCAAGGACTAAGTAAAGACTCAGGCTTTTCTCTGACATAAAGGCACACACTGGCCAGAGATGGAGAGGCAGGAGGACTCCTTTAGTCAATTTACAGAGGCCCTAGTGCGCCAGACTCCATGCTGATTGCTGGGTTTCTTGCCCTCTATTCTCAGAGCCGAGGAAGCACAGAGATGAGGGTGAGGGGTAGGGTTGGGGGAGAAATGGTCACCTTCCTTCTAGTCATGAGAGCTTTCTAGAGCAGGAAGGGTTTCTGCAATTGCTTGAAGTCTAGAAGAGAGATGATGTGTGTGCAGCTTGAGGGGACATAGGAGGTAAGAAGAGGGTCTGAAGGGGCAGGATTGGGGAGAAAGGAAATGAGATAGACTGGTGGGAGATGGGTGCTGGGGGTACGGTTCATGGGCTCCTTGGGTGTCCCCAGGAACCGGTTCAACAGACTCTAGCTTCTGGGCTCTTGAGTGGGCGATTTGCTGTGAGTGGGCCCTTTATTAGATTGTCAGGAAGGAGGACGAGAACAATATTCCTGTTGACAACAATCAACAAAGGTGTAAGGGCCAAAAGTTCACAAAACTCTTATGCCCCTGTTTCTTATTTGATGCCCACAAAACTCCTATAAGGCATAAAACAGAGGCTCACAAAAGGAGAGTCCCTTAACCAAAGAAGCAGTGGAGCTAGGGGACTGAGTCCCAGGTCCCCCAGTAGCCAAAGGCTATGCTTGTTGCCCTATCTCCCAGGGGAGGGAAAGAGCAGGTCTGGAGTGTGTCCTATTTGATTGTTTGAAAATCTAACCAGGCTTACAGACCTGTTGGCAGAACACGTGGGACATCCTTAACAGACTAGACTGAGCAAAACAAAACTTCGAGGGCCTGGGCAGGGACAGGAAGAGGAAAGACTCCTGTTCTGGG